TTTTTCTTCCGCCGCCAGCTCCCTCGCGTGTGCGTCTCGTCTTGTTCTGCTTTTTCGCCGCCCAGCGTGTGTGCGTCTCTCCTCCCTCGTTCAGCTTCGTGTGTGCTTCTCACGTTGAAGATCATATGAATAATAGGTTTAGTGGGGAGGGGGCAAAACGCAACGTTTTGCTCCCCCCCTTTTATTATTTTAGTTTTTTTTTAATTTATTTTTTTCTTTTCTCTTTTTTTATTTTTTTTATTTTCAAAATCTTCCAAAAACCTGCAAGCAAAAATTCAAAGATAAGGTAGCATTAATTGTCCTAAAAAATCAATTAGTCACAATTAAACCAAAATATGACAATTTTGCCCCTATAAAATAATAATTCAAAATAAAACATATTAAATCAACTAATCAATCAATTAAGGTCAAAAGGGACTAATTAAGTTGACAAAACCCATATAAAAGATATCAAAATATATAAAAATAATTGAGTTTGTCAAGGGTGCCGGCGTAAACTCCACAGGCGGACAATGGTTTCACCATTTTTGAATCTCTCTCTCTTTCTCGCTCTCTCTTTTGGTGCAAGTATGTGCGCTCTCATAACCTGCTTATTTATAGCTTAAAGTATGTATTTTATCTTTTAACTTTATGTAAGGTTTTAGTTTGATCTCTTAACTTTAAAAAATATACTTTTAATCTTTTAATCCAAAAATTTGAGATAAGTTGTGTTTTAATTTGACTTATATAAAGACACTTTTTTATAAGTTTTGCTTTTGAATACTCCTCCGGTCCTTAATATAAAGACCCATTTAACTAATTTGATTAGATTGAAGAAGTTAAGTAAGTAAGTTAATTATAAGAAAAGTCACACATTTTTCCTAAAACATCATAATCATCTTTCTTAATACTCCTCTTCCTCTTCTATTTGATTATGGTTGAAGGAATATCTATAGAGTAATTTAGAAAAAATTGATAAATATGAGAAATGAGTCTTATATTTAGGATTAAAACCAACTCAAGAACTTGGTCCTATATTAAGGACCGGAGGAGTATCTCACTGTACTATATAATTCACCAATCAGGCCCTTCGATTGCACCCACACCTGCGAAGAGATCGCAAGAAGAAGAAGAAACAGTGACAATGTCATCTCCTCCTGCAGTCGTCGATGACGATACTTCCAAATCTGACGACCTCCCTCTCAGACCAATCCCTGACGGCTATGGCCTCCCATTTGTCGGCCCCATTCTTGATCGTTACGACTATTACTACAACCAAGGCCGCGATAATTTCTTCATCTCCAGAATCCGCAAGTACAACTCCACCGTCTTCCGAACCAAAATGCCTCCTGGTCCGTTCGTCGCCTCCAATCCTAGGGTTGACGCCGTCCTCGACGCCCTCAGCTTCCCTGTCCTCTTCGACGTATCCAAGGTTGAGAAACGCGACGTCTTCACCGGAACCTACATGCCGTCCACCACCTTCACGGGCGGCCACCGTGTCTGCTCTGACCTCGATCCCTCGGAGCCCAAACACACCCTCCTCAAGCGCTTCTTCTTCTACCTCCTCTCCTCCAAGAAAGACCAGGCGATCCCGCTTCTCCGAAGCCACTTATCGGAGATGTTTCAGAAACTCGAAGACCAGGTCCTCGCTAAAAGGCAGGCTTATTTCAACTCCATAAGCGATAACGAGCTCTTTAACCTCGTGTTCCGCCTCTACTGTGGAAAAGATTCGAACCAAACAAAACTCGGATCCTGGGCCCCGACTTACTTCGAGTTCTGGGTATATCCTCAGGTCGCACTGCTCGGATCCCTTGGACTACCCTGGTACTTCTTCCCCATTAACGTAATCGAAGATTTCTTCCTCCATACCATGCCGTTCCCAGCGTTCTTGCTCAAATGGCTTCACCGGAAGCTATACGATGCCATTTACACGTCCGCCTTGGAGGCACTGGACGAAGCGGAGCGTATCGGGCTAAGCAGAGAAGAAGCATGCAACAACTTACTATTCGTTCTGGGATTTAACACTTATGGTGGTGTCGAAATCGTAATTCCGAGGATGATGAAGTGGGTGGGATTAGCTGGGGAGGGTCTACATAAAGAACTTGCGGACGAGATAAGAAGTGCGGTGAAGGCAGAAGGTGGGGTGACATTAGGGGCGTTGGATAAGATGCCGTTGATGAAATCAGTGGTGTGGGAAGTACTGAGGATTGAACCACCAGTTCAGTTTCAGTACGGCAAGGCAAAGGAGGATGTGGTGGTGCGAAGCCACGACGTGGCCTTTCAAATAAAGAAAGGTGAGATGGTGTTTGGATATCAGTTACAAAAGATCCAAGGGTGTTCGAGAATCCGGAGGAGTTTGGTGGGCATAGGTTCGTCGGAGAAGGAGAGAAGCTGTTGAAGTACCTGTATTGGTCGAATGGGAGGGAGACAGAGGGGGCCACGGAGGAGAACAAGCAGTGCGCGGGCAAGGATCTAGTGGTGCTGGTGCTTAGAGTAACCTTGGTGGAACTGTTCCTGCGTTATGACACCTTCACGGTGAAACTTGGGAAGCCCTTACTTGGTCCCACAGTGACCATCTCCTCCTTGACCAAGGCCGCTTCCTACTAATTAACGTTCTGTATTTCAATATTTGAGCTTGCGCGTTTTATTCAATAAATTTAAGAATTTTGTGGAACCTAATGTACACTAATTAGTAAGATTATAGTGCACAGGATAAAGGTGATTCTTTTCAGGCCGAAAAAATAAGGTTGCTTCTTTCGTGTGGGGTATTCCCATGTTATAACTAGGCCTGACTCCTCTCTAATACTCATCCGGTCCTAAATTATTTATAGAAAAATTTTAAATTGCTGGAAAAAGAGAAAAATTTTAAATTGAAAACCACAATTAATTAATTCTATCTTAAAAGTTATTCACAACACGTACGAGCGTCTGCGGCAATACTCTGATAAAAACCTAGGCTTTGGATGAAAATGGAGGGGCCGACTCTCAAATTAGTAATTCATTAATTGAGCTAATGTTTTAAGCAAAAGTAATTGGTCTATGAGACTATAAACCTTAAACTTGGTCTTCGTGGGGCGCGCCAGGCCGGTGCTGTAATGCAACGCACGGGCGACGCGCAAGGATCCCGGGAGCAAGCTACCGTGGTGGACCCTTCCCCTGCAAAAATAAATTTAATATCATGTGGGCCGATGGCCCACGTATCAGATATTAAACTGATAAGAACAGATACTACACTTGATCTTAGCCAAAAGGCCGAGAAAGGTATGACTTGAAATGTGCCTTCGTCCGGCTTTTATAATTACCCTCAGCTCTTCGCTTCTTTGCCTGCCCCATGTGGGACTCTCTCACTCCTTCGCAGTTGCAGCTATGCAGTAAAACCCCCTCTTATATCATGCATCCCATTTTTTGGTATCGGGCTTCTTCCTTTGTTGTATCTTCGATTACGCATCCATCCCTATTCCCTATATCGCATCGCAACTTGTCCAAGTAGATGCTGGATATTTTTATACAAAGCTTTGATTTTTCTTTTTCTTTTTTTGTTGGGGGGGGGGGTTTGGGGAAATTGAGCATTTTGATATTCCCAAGTAGGTCCATGGAGCATGTACAATTCCCCCCATATATATCAAGAGAGATCTTGCAGTTGTTATCTCAGGTTATGGTTCGTTTCTTTGTTCGATACTGCTGGGCGCAACGCAAGGATGATTTTATATTTATTGTGTCATTTCTAGATTGTATTGGTTGCATTTATTTTCATGTGCTGCTGTATATAACTTTTTTCGTCATTGTTTCCTTGTATATATAAACAACAAATGAAAAGCTTTCCCTCCATTGCCTAATTTATGTTCGTATGTGTATGGTTTTTCCTTCGTAATATTTGCCTGTCTGCGCTTCTGTGCTTCTTTTGGTTAAGGAACGTTTGCAAGGATCGTATGAAATTTGACCTCGTGATGCCTATATATATGTGTTATTTTATAGATTTTTGTCACAAACATATATAATTATTTTGTTGAACATGTACTATGCCTGCTTTCTCGCTCCTACTACACTGGAACAAGTTAAACTCATCAGTTTATGCCAACCGAACAATACATGTTTCAAGGAGTTTTTCTTTCTGTTCTGCCACCCATTCCTCTCCCTGCCTCTGCTTCATTTAATTTGTTCTAGTAAGCTTGTTTTTTAGCTGACCTGGAGACAATTTTCAAGTTGACAACACGGAGATGGTTTTATTTGAGATAGGGTTTGTAATGAAGGGAAGAATTTAATTAATTAATTAAGAAGCAAATATATTGATGATTTAGTTGAGTGCTCTTGAAATACCATAGAGATAAATAATCCTAGATCTATCTCATTTTATAATTGAATTGACAAGCTCTTTTGCTTTGTCAATAAATAATCCGAGATCATCTCTTCTCATTATTTTATTACTTCTCACGAAGGTTTCATTAATCAAACATACATAGCAACTAATTAAATGCTTATAACCGCGACGCAAACAACAGAGACTGCTGGCAATAAGATTAGCTGCACATGTTACGGCTATTATGAGATCCTCCATATATACGTACTCCTTTTTTCTTATTACGAGATTCTGCGTACTTGATCGGAATTAGGAAGAGGGAAAAGGGGGTTGGCATGAAATAATATAATAATACACTTGAATGAAAGAACATATATATATATATATGTATATGTATACATATATCGCAGTCGATGACCCTATGATGATAGAAAGGAAAAATCATGTAACAATCACATACAACTCCATAATAATCACATGCAAAGCAACTTTTATTTTATTGATCAGACTCGTACATATATGGATTTGAAACATAAAGATAACAAGATCCTAGCACTCTAGAGGAACGGTGACAACTCGACACATACCTCCCGGAACAACTAAAGCAAACAGGAGCTCGACACATACCACAAAACAAAGATATATACGGAAGTGGAATATTATTTGATACGCACGCAGGGCAGGGAATAGGACGAAATCTTGGCCGCGCAGATCTCAACACTACTCAAGGCTCAGGGTTATAATCTTCAGGGGTCACGATCCACTTGGAAATGCCAAAGAGTCCCTTGTTAAGGAGCTGAGGAACGGCACCGAGGAAGATGGGCGGCGGGACAGTAGTCCAGTCGCCGGGACGGACGTCACTGTGCCCAGCTAAGATCTTCTCTTTGGGATAAGGCAGTTTGTCGAAGACGGCTCCGACCTCTTGAAAAGTGGAGATGGGAGAAAGCTCAGTATGGGACTGGTACACCACATAGTCAAAATTTTTGTCGTTTTTCTTGTACAAGTCGTGATAGTTTTTGCTGAGAGGAGCTGATACAGTGACGGAAGCACTGGAGATGGTTTTATCGTTCTTCAGCCTCCATATCACTTTCTGAATTGAGTCGGCAAACTGATGCCCAGCATTAGAGTTGATGTGTTCGTAATAGACGTCGATGCCATGCATCAAACCCGTAATTCTGGACGATTTCCTTGAGACTTTCAGTGGCATTTTGGATCCAGGCGGATTGCTGAGCAGAAGTGACAGCAAATGGGAATTTGGAGTCACGGCCTCCGATGCTGAGGAAGAACTTCACTGAAGTGGACATGGCTCTGTCCTTGATGTTCTGGATTGCTTCTGCATTCAGCTTGCTTGTATCAAAATAGGGAAAAAATTTCCCTGTCTGGTATTTCTTCTCGCTGTCGTAATCTCCGGCGATATGGATTTCTTTCTCGAGGCCGGCACATGGGAGATTGTCAATAGAGCCCCGAGTGCTAGCGTAAACACGATTGCCAGACAATTGTTTCGGTCCAAGCAATGATGGCATCTAAAGCCCAACAGTGCAATTAGAAAGCCGAAATCCAAAAGATGGCCCAACGATGACCGTAAAACTATCTCCTTGAGTTATATTCCTTTTGAAATGGGAAGTGATAACCCATAGTCCATGAAATTAGCGGTAGCAACTGCACCCTCCCACCAATAAGGAGAGAGTTTGATTCCCCGTCATTAGGCTTAGCGAGGAATCTCATTTGGAGATGTGTATGTAAACACTTGAAGACATGATGTAGGTTTGTCTTACCTAACATAGTAGTTAGATCAAGCGCCCTATCTTTGATTTGAATTGAGTTTGAATCCTGCCTAAAATATCCAGAAAAAAGGGTAAATGATATCAAATACAAAACAACTTGGCAATAATGAGTATCATTTTCTTCTTATTGGACGAAAAGAAACAACATTTTAAGTTTAGTTCAAAGCTATGCGCAACTTTATAACTGCATTTCTCAAGATCAATTCTATTTTAATCAAATTGTTTTTTTTTAATGAATTCGTAACTTTCGGAAATGAGAAAATAAATTGGACAGCAACTTGTACAAGTAGGTGCTGGATGTTTTCCATTCAAAATAAAGCATTGATCTTTTCTGTTTTGTCTTCTTCTTTTTTTTTTTGGGGGGGGGGTGGTTCTCAAATGGGTTCTTGGATGATAATTCTCACCATCTGTATCAGAAAGTGATCTTGCAGTTGTTGCTACGTCAATTTTGGGTTGTACTGGTTGCATTTATCTTCATAATTTTGTTATTCATTTTTTTCTTATAAATAAGGGTAAAAGTACATCTAACATCCTAAACTATTTAGTAATATATTTTTACACTCCACGTATTAAAATTAGAGTAATTTTACCCCAAGTAAACATTCCCTTGAACTCTGTTAGATGCAATTGACCTTTAGGCATTTTTTTCCCAATTAAGGACACGTATTTTATAAAATGACACTTATATGTCGGTCATAAAATGCATGAGAATGGATGGTTGGACTCATCCGAAGGATATAAAATAGGACTTCATTCACATAGCAAGACAAAGTTAGGTGACCAGCCATTGATTAAAAATCACCAGTAATTAAATGCAATGGGAAGTTGCGAACCGATCTACATGTTATGACTATTATATTATGAGATTCTCCGTGCGTCCTTGGCTGGAATTAGGAAGAGAGAAAAACGGTCCACATGAAATAATATATTCCTCTGATCCTAAATATAAGACCATTTTTGTAGTGTAAATATTACAGTTGAATGAAAGAAGACAAACACAAACACGCACATATTGCAGTCGATGATCCTATATATATAGTATATGTAGGGCAGGGAATGAGTAGTGATGATAGAAATTAGAGGAAAAATCATTTAACAAGCACAAACTCAACAACAATAACAATAATTAATTATAATCGCATGCATGCATAACAACTTTTATTGATCAGACTCATACACATACGTAGGGGTGTGAAACATAGAGAACAGGATACTGGCATTCTAGACTGCACAGACCTTATTATTATCTCACCACACCTGCATAAAACTGCAAGAGCTAGCAGGAGCTCGACACAGACCACAAGACAAAGACATATATAGGTAGGTGGATGATTATATAAAATCATCAGTTAGGCTTAATTCTCAGGGTTATGATCAGCAGTGGTGACGACCCACTTGGAAATGCCAAAGAGTCCCATGTCAAGGAGCTGAGGAACGGAACCAAGGAAGATGGGCGGCGGGACATTAGTCCAGTCGCCGGGACGGACGTCACTGTACCCAGCTAAGATCTTCTCTTTGGGATAATAATGCAGTTTGCCATATACGTCCACGAGCTGTTCAAAAGTGCAAATGCGAGCAGGCTCCGTGTGGGTCTGGTACACCACATAGTTAAATATTGCACTATTTGCCTTGTACAAGTTCTGATAGTCATTTTTGAAAGGAGATGACACAGTGATGGAAGCGTCGGTGATGCTTTCATCTTTCTTCAGATTCCGTATCACCGTCGCTATTGCCCTCCCAAACTGGTCCCTGGCATCAAAGTTGATGTGTTCGTAATAGACGTCGATGCCGTCGATGCTGTAATTCTGGACGATCTGCTTGAGAGTTTCGGTGGCGTTTTTGATCCAATCGGATTGCTGAGCAGAGGTGACGGCGAATGGGAATTTGGGGTTACGGCCTCCGATGCTGAGGAAGAACTTGACCGGAGTGGACTCGGCTCTGCCCTTGATGTTCTGGATTGCTTCCGCATTCAACGAACTCGTATCAAAGTAGGGAAAAAAATTTTCCGGTCTGGTTTTTTCCTTGAGCATCATAATCTCTGGCGAAGGCCAGAACGATGTGGATTTCTTTGTCAAGGTTCGCATATGGGAGATTCTCAATGGAGATGAGGGTGCTGGCGTAAACTCGACAGGCGGACAATGGTTTCGCCATTTTTGAATCTCTCTCTCTTTCTGGCTCTCTCTTTTGGTGCAAGTATGTGTGCTCTCATGACTTGCTTATTTATAGATTAATGTGTTGTTATTCTCCTGACGTCATAGAACATGGCATCGATCATTCCATTAATTATATAAATAAAAAATTTAGCCAAAGGCAATAAATTAGTGAGAAACATATATATATATATATATATATATATATGTTTTAAGATATTCTGGTTTATGGATACATACATGTTGAGTAATTGTGGTGGAGGGCGACAAAGAACAATTAATCATTAAATTCCTACAGTTCCAACTTGTTTACATATGATTAGATGCCTGAAATATTAACTTATGTAACACAATCCGTCAAGTTTCTTTGATTTAATCTGTTGTTTCTTTGTTTTTGGAAAATTATTAATGATTAGTCCTTCAAGAATATACAAAGTAAAAGGTATAACCAAATCAAAATTTAAGATCTAAATAATAAATTTAGTTTTCAAAAGATAAGAGGGACCATATGCATGTGCAACCTAATCTCGAGCTATGCTTGGTTTTTGTTTTTGTTTTTTTTTTTTTTGTTTTTAAACACCCACTGGAATCATGTGCCTGGATTTATTTGAAAAGAGAAGGATATTAAACTACACTAACTAACTACCAGGGATTACAGTAGCTAGGTAGGACACGCGAAGTGGTGCGTTCGAATGTGAACTACTATCTCCGATACTAATTATAAGAACTAGTTAACTAATTTAAAGAGATTAAAGAAATAAGTTAAGCTAGTTATTTGTAATAAATAGATGTTATCTTTTCAAAAATATCCTTACTAATCAAGAGTGTTGGTGAGAACTATAATTATTAGAAGCACTATCTTGAAAAAAAAACACATAAATATGTTAGAGACAAAATAAATTGAGGTCTTATATTTATGACAAAAATAAAAGTCAAACAAATTCTTATATTAAAGACCGGAGGTAGTATTATGTTTATGGAAATAAATCTAAAAATGGACGAACAAGTTGTTGATCCGGATAACAAGAAACATCTCTATGGAGAAAAGACAGGTTTAAATTCTGATAAGCACATTTGATGCTAAGGCTGTTTTAATCTCAATTTCATACTCTAAATTTTTAAAAAAGTATAAAAAAGAAAATGGAACATAATAAAATAAATATGTTTGATATCCGATGAAACAAAGTAAATATTTATAATATCTATAACATATTTATATATATAATGAAAATGTCAAGATGTTAATTATGCTTGGTTGTTGTCTCTTATGGTGTGATAAAGACCTAGGCTTTATTTGGACGAACGTGTAGAAGCCCAGTGTAAAATTAACTAATTAATTGGGCCTATCGGCTAAGCACAAAAGAAATGGCTTGAAAAAATTAAAACTTGGGCTTCGTGGGAAGCGCCAGGCCCGTGCAGTAGTGCAACGCATGGGCGACATGCGAGGATCCCAGCAGCAAGCTACTGTAGTGAACCCTCCCCCTCAAAAAATAAATTTAATATCATGTGGGCCGATGACCCACGTATCAGATATTAAACTGATAAGAACAGATACTACACTTGATCTACCAACGGGGTTGATCCAAGTGGTAAGCGGCTTGGTACCGCTTAAATAAGGTCTCGAGTTCAAGTTTCAGTGTATGCAGAAATCCCTGTTGGGAAACTCACCCACCACAGCCAAATACGCGACGCGGGTCGAATTTAGATGTAATTGAAGCAAAACTCCGGTAAACTAGGTGGGCAACCAAAAAAAAAAAATACTACACTTGATCTTAGCCAAAAGGCCTAGAAAGGTATGAATTAGAACGTTCCTCCGTCTTTTGGCCCAAAAAAAAAAAAAGAACGTTCCTCCGTCCGGCTTTTATAATTACCCTGCGCTCTTCGCTTCCCCACGTGGCCGATGTAGGACTCTTCACTCCTTCGCAGTTGCAGCTACGCAATAAAACCATCTCTCGTGCATCTCTTTTTTTCCTTTTTTCTTTCTTGTATCGGCCTTCTTCCTTTGTTGCATCCCTATCCCTTACATCGCATCGCAACTTGTACAAGTAGATGCTGCATATTTTCATTCAAAGCTTCTTTTCTTTTTTTTTTCCTGTTTTTTTACTTTTTCCCCGCCCCCGGGGGGGGGGAGATATTGAGCATTTTAATATTCCCAAATAGGTCCATGGAGCATATATAATTCCCCCCATATATATCAGAGAGATCTTGCAGTTGTTATATATCAGGTTATGGTTCATTTCTCTGTTCGATACTGCGGGGCGCAACGCAAGGATGATTTTATATGATTGTGTCATTTCTAGATTCTAGATTCTAGATTGTATTGGTTGCATTTGTTTTCATTTACTGCTGTAAATAACTTTGTTCTTCATTGTTTCCTTATACTCCTCCGGTCCTTATTATAAGACCCAATTTGACTTTTTATTTGGTCCTAATTATAAGACCCAATCCATTTTCTCTCTTATATTTATGCATTTTTTTCCAAGATAATCCTTCTAATAATGATAGTTTTAGCCAATATACTTAATTAGCAAGAATATTTTAGAAATAACAACACTTATTTATTATAAATAACCAACTTAACTTACTTCCTTAATCTCCTCAAATAAGTCAATTGGGTCTTATAATTAGAACCGGAGGAGTATTAACAACAATAAAAAGCTTTCCCTCCACTGCTTAATTTACTTACGTATAGTACTCCTCCGGTCCTTAATATAGGACCCAATTGTTGAGTTGGTTTTGATTCTAAATATAAGACCCACTTATCATATTTATCAATTTTCTCTAAAGTACCCTATGTATACTCCCTCAACCATAATCAAGTAGAAGAGGAAGATGAGGTATTAAGAAAGATGATTATGGTATTTTAGGAAAAACATGTCACATTTCTTATAATTAACTAACTTATCTAACTTCCTTAATCTAATCAAATTAGTTAAATGGGTCTTATATTAAGGACCGGAGGAGTATGTTTCAAGAAGTTTTTCTTTCTGTGCTGCCACCCATTCCTCTCCCTCCTGCCCGTGCTATATTTAATTTATTCTATCGAGCTCGTTTTCTAGCTGACCTGAAGGCAATTTGCAAGTTGAGAACAGAGATGGTTTTCTTAATTGAGACGGGTTCGTAACGAAAGGAAGAAATTAAGAAGCAAATATATTGAAGATTTAATTGGGGAATAATCATGGTCTGGGGAATAATCACCCAAACACCCATCCAAAAACTAAAACTATGGTTTTGGGTCAAAATCATGGTTTTGGCTCCAAAATCATGGTTTTAGAAAAAGCTAAAAATTTTTGCTTTTGGAGAAAAAAGGAAGAGTGTGAGAGCCTATAGGATATGTATCTTATTATTTTTTTTATAAACAAATTTTTTTATAAACATATTTAATCTTATATTTTATAAATATATATACATATTAATTATTTATTAATTATATTATCTTATGTATTATTAATTATGTTGGTAAAAAATATATTATTAACAATTTTATTCCTTCAAATTAAAATATATTATAAAATCTATTTTTTCTGTAATTATCATATTAACTTATGTCTTTTTTTTAGTAATTTGTATATATAAAAAGTGCTTCTGATAACAACTATCCAAATACTCTCACTTCTTAGAATCACTTTTTTACAAAATCTATTCTTCACAGAATCTATTCTTTATCTATTCTCCAGAATCACTTTTTCAAACTACGGTTTGGTTTCATCCAAACACATCCTATATCTTTCTGAAGCCCATGAGTTTGGTTATACTTTGGCTTATTGTTTCTGCCTACTGATTCACACATATATGCAGGTTTATGCCAATTAAACAGTATGTTTCGAGAAGTTTTTCTTTCTATGCTACCACGCATCATATTCCTCTCGTTTGCCTGTGCGCCTGTGCTTATTTATTTTATTCCAGTAAGCTTGTTTTTTCACAGGGATTAATGAGATAGGGATACTGTCATCAACATCACATGGGGTACGGTTTGCAATGAAAGAAAAAATCTAATTAATTAATTAATTAATCCCTCTGTTCTTTAATTAGTTAAAAACAAATTATAAATTTGAAAGACAAAATTGACGAAGATTTTATATTTAGGATTAAAATAAATTTTTTGTCTAGAGTCGGCATAAGTAAGCCCACAGCTGGTTTTTATTTGAATTCTTTTCAATTTTTTATTTTACTGATTTGAATAAAAAAAATTTATTGTTTTTACACATAATTTAAACATAATCATGTTTTGCCTTAGAAACGTGATTCCATCTTTGATTCTTTTGCTTTATTTATTTATTTTTTTATATTAATAAAATAACAATACAAAAGAGATTATAGATTTATATTTACAAGATTTTGGATTAATTCAAATATACTACCTCCGGTCCTTAATGTAAAACCCTATTTGACTTTTATTTTGATCCTAAATATAAGAGCCCAATTCACTTTATCTCTTATATTTATATTTTTTTCCAAAGTAGCCCTTCTAATAATAAGAGTTCTAGTCAATACACTTGATTAGTAAGGATATTTTAGGAAAGACAACATCTATTTAGAACAAATAACTAACTCAACTTACTTCTTTAATCTCTTCAAATTAGTCAACTGACTCTTATAATTAGGACCAGAGGTAGTATAACTTTATGAAAATATTTTAAAAACTTTAAATTTAAATATAAAAATTGTAATTTAATTTGCAAATTTTTTATGAAATTAAAAATTGCAAAAAAAAGAAAAGAAAATATAATAAAAAAAGAGGTGGATCGTTAACCCGCCTGGTGGTCTTTGGGTTTACAAAATGCAAACCCGTCAGGTTGCATATCTTTCGGACCCACGCTTGCCAACCACAGCTTGCCACACGTGCTTACCATCTTTGCCCTTATCTAGCTCCTATATATAGACACACATTGGGGGAAGGGATTAAGAGGCTGAGTGGCCATTGAACTAAACACCTAGATAAATAATCCACGTCTCATTTTATTCAGAAGCCAAGAGAATCGATTGTTTTTATTAATTTTTTAATTTTAAAAGTAGCTTTTCAAAATCTCACTAAGCATGCAAAATTTGTTTAGTTGAACTTAATTGAATTCACAAGTTCTTTTGCCTTGTCAATATATATTTTTATACAAATCACAGTTGGGATGACCTCTTCTCATTATTTTATTACTTCTCAGAAACCGTATGCTTTTATTAATCAAACATGTATAGCAACTAAATGCTTATAACGGCGACGCAAATAACAACGCAAACTAGCAATAAGATCATTCAATTATATATGTTATGATTACTATAATAATGAGATCCTCCATACGTACTTCTTTTTTCTTATTATGTACGTACGTACTTGGTTGGAATTAGGACGAGAAGGGAAAAGGTTGACATGAAATAATAATAATACACCTGAATGAAAGAAGAAACACACTTGATCCTAGCTAGTACGGGGGGTGGGGGGTCACAACAGCGATCGATGATAAGAAGGAAAAATCATATAGCAATCACACAACTCAATAATAATCATGCAAAGCAATTAACTTTTTTATTATCGGACTCGATCAATACGTATACAGGAATGAAACATAGAAACAAGATACTATCTCGTATTCGAGACGAAAGCTGACAGCACGAATCAGACCTTATTTAAAAAGGGTACTTAATTCAGACAAACCCAAGCACCACAGAAATGCAAAGAAAACTGCAAGAGAGCTAGCAGGAGTTCGACACAAATCACAAAACGAAGACATATATATGGCAGCCATGGGTGGATCATTATTCATTAAGCAAGGTAGGGAATGGGACGACATCTTGGCCACAGATCTCACCACTTAAGCCTCAGGGTTATAATAGGCCGGTCACGATCCACTTGGAAATGCCAAAGAGTCCCTGCTTGTCAAGGAGCTGAGGAACGGCACCAAGGAAGATGGGCGGCGGGACATTAGTCCAGTCTCCAGGAGCAACGTCACTGTGCCCAGCTAAGATCTTATTTTTGGGATAAAGCAGTTTGTCGAAGACGGCTCCAAGCTCTTGAAAGGTGGAGATGCGAGAAAGCTCAGTATGGGATTGGTATACCACGTAGTCAAAAAGTTTCTCATTTTTCTTGTACAGGTCGAAATAGTATTTTCTGAGAGGAGCTGATACAGTGATGGAAGCATCGGTGATGATGTTATTGCTCTTCAAACTCCACATGACTTTCTCAATTGAGTTGCCAAACTGATGCATGGCATCAGGGTTGATATGTTCGTAATACACGTCGATGCCGTCAATCTTGTAATTCTGGACGATTTGCTTGAGACTTTCGGTGGCATTTTTCCGCCAGTCGCATTCCTGAGCAGAAGTGACAGCAAATGGGAATTTGGAGTGAGGAGCTCCGATGCTGAGGAAGAACTTAATTGAAGTGGACGCGGCTCTATCCTTGATGTTCTGGATTTCATCTGCATTTAACTTGCTTGTCTCAAAATAGGGAAAGAATTTCCCATTCTGGTATTTTCCTTCACCATCGTAGTCTCTGGCAAAGGCCAGAACGATGTGAATTTCATTCTTGAGTTTCGCATACGGGAGATATTCAATGGTGCTCCAGGTGCTGGCATAGACACGATAGGCGGACAATAATGGTTTCGTCATTTTGAATCTCTCTCTCTTTGTCTGATTCATAATTTTTGGTGTGAGTTTGCGTGCGCTCATAACTTCCTTATGTATGCGAGCTCGATTTGCTTCGGATGTGGTATTGTCCTGACGTCACAAAGCCTGGTGGTTATGTTTGATTGATATCTGTGGCACCGTTTACTTGGATGCATGACTTATCATGAGTGGATGATTCCATATCTATAGGCATTTTTTTTTCAATTTATGGGTCCACAGGATGCTTCATGAAAAAATATATTATTTCCGATTCTTAATATAAAATTTTTTTATTTTTATTTTGATCCTAAATATAATATTCTAATTTACTTTATCTTTTATATTTATCTATTTTTTTCTCAAAGTAGCCATTATAATAGTAGTAGTTTTAGTCAATACATTTGATTAGTAAAAATATTTTAAAAAACATAACACCTATTTATTATAAATAATTAACTTAACTAGTTTTCTTAATTTACTTAATAATCAACTAACTCTTATATTAAAGACCGAAGGTAGTATATATTAAAATTATTTTTGGATTAAGTTTCATCCAATACTCTAAAATATTTTTCCATGTGTATTCAGTAAAAATACTGATGTATCTGGAAAAAAAAAATTTTAAGCGTTTGATGAGTTACAAAATATTTTAGGATATTGGACGCATTTGACAAGATATTTCAGGGTGATGGATGAATCAAAAAATATTTCTAGGATGCTGAACTTGCATAAAAAATAATTTTGGGGTGTTAGATAATTGTATCATAAAGTACTTTAAAATGTAGGGTATATCTGAAAAAAAAAATATTTCAGCGCTAGATGAAACACAATATTTTAAAATAATAAATGTACTTGAAAAAAAATACTTTGAAGCTTAAACCAAAAATAATTTTCATGCATGTATATATTTTTAATAAGAACAGTAAAAGGGAAAAAAGCAAAAAAAAAAAAAAGAGTCCCACACTACTCAACCCTTGAACTCAAAAGATGCTTTGAGTGCTGAGCACGCTGTGCCCACCAACCTGATGAGCTCAGAATGCGAGAGATGAAAGCAGAGGCAGGATCAAGATATAGGTATGGGTCCTACATGTGGGCCCCGGTAATGGCTCCTTTTTTCTTTTTATATATACAAAAAAGTATGGGTTCTGTAAGTTTAGTCAGGGTATACATTCAAGTTCAGAGAGTATTTATAAAAGTACTTATAAATAACCTACTAACAAGATCTTTATATCGATAGTGAGATTCAAACTTATAACCTTATGATTTGTGAGTTATAAGTCATCTCCTTTTAATTTAGTTAAAGAAAGTACAACTATTTTGTATATTTTAAACAGGCCTAACTAATGATGGCTTCTAAAGCCCAACATATAATTAGGAAGCCCAAACCTACAAGATGGCCCAACAATGACCATAAAACTAACTTTTATTTCTTTTGAAGAGGTAAATAGCTTGCAATTATAGGCTTATTTAAAACAGTGATGAAAAGTAATTATAAACATGTTTTGTATAGGTCGAGACAAAACTCATCTTATAAACTTATCTCGTATTTCATAAATCACGATTAAAAAGTTATTTATAAATTATTTTAAATAGGCACTAGTAATGTTTGGTTGGGTTTTTTTTTTTTTTCAAAAACAGGGGATGAAAAAGGAAGAGGAAGGACAAAGTTAGGCTAATTGGTTTAAGAAAGTAGAGGGGAAGAGAAGGAAAAATGTTTGCCTTTTTCTGCTTCCTTCCCTTCAGAAATGAGGGGGGAGTGAAATAATACCTCACATTGTGATATTTGCCATCATTTCAACTTTTCAACTTTGCCCATCAAATTTAAACATTCCTTTTCTCTTTAGTTGCTTCACGCTACGTTGCCTCTCCTACTTCTGCTGCTGCCAGCACTTCAAAGTTTTAAAAAAAAAAGATAATTATTAAAAAATTTCAATAATAAGTGAATATCTAAGATCTGTTGTTATTTTTTACTCTTAAAATTGTTATTATAAGCTGCGTTATAGGACTTTTTGTGAATATATTTATTTTATTAGACTTTATTGCAATTCTTATTTCCTTTTTTTTGCCTTGTTAGGATAAAGAGAAACAGCATTTTTAGTTCAAATATACGAGTATATTCTGTGTTTCTCAATCAAGTCTGTTTTAATCAAACTGTTTTTTTTTAATTAAAAGTTTAATTCCTCTTAGCTGATGTAATATTTCCCTACTTCATTTCCATCATTTATAGCACAATAAAAAATTATTGGTCTCAGACGAACGAGATCATCAGTAAGTTTTTCAAATCAAACACAATATAATCATAATTAATTTAATTAATTAATGTCTATGCAGAATTAAAAACAGATAGAAACTATTGGGTAAAATGTCAGATCGAAATATATTCACTTCATTGTTAACTCTAAAACAAGAATGGAAGTGTCATAATACAAGTGTCACCCTTTTAATCATCAACTCTTTTTTTCAAAAAAATAAAAAATAAAAAGAGGCACTGACCTTTGCTTGGTTGTTAGGGGCATATCATATGGGATGGGCATAATTGTGATTTAGCAATGAACCCCCACTGTAAAAGCCTACAATGTTGACTTTTTTCGCTCGTCCATGTCATGCGCCCGTGAACCTTTCTCTTAAAACATTGCATAATGACACGAAACAACAATTAATAATTAATAATTAATCACTAATCAATAATTAACAATGAGATACCGATAGCAGTGGTGCGAAAGTCATATAAAATAGATGGGTAAACAGCAATGATATGATATTGCCACTTCTATTTTATATGACGGATGTATTAAATACTTAAATAATATATGATAAACAACATTTAGGTGACATCAATCAATTAATATTTTTTGATAAGGCATCTGATACCCATCATAATATCATATATATATAATTGATACTTAATATTTTTTATGGCAAAAAAAAGTTAATGTTCTTTTTACTCCTACCTCCATTAGTGTGTGATTTCTTTTTGAGTGAATGATGACAAAAAATCATATGTCTGTGTATTCTGCTAAAAAAACATGAATTAAATAGCCTAACTATGATTAAACAGATAACAAACAAAGTTATTAAGATACCCTCTAGTCATATTTATAGGACAAAGAGAGAAGATAATTTTTGGTCCTATTTATAGGGTACCGAGAGAAATTTTTTGTATAGATGTATAATTTTGCCCCTCATTTATTATTGTGTTAATTTTGTTTACATGAAGTATAATATATATTAAATAGGAATAAAGTGGAAAAGTTACTAAATTTTAAATGAGAATTGATAAAATTTAAGGTTTTCCTTAGCCTGTGTGAACTGTGAAATATGCTGAAATGCTTTATAAATAGACCAGAGAAGAATAAATCTAGCGCTCTATTATTATTTATTTTTTTAATCTTAGAATGATGTTATTTTAAGTTCAATAAAAAAAGATAATTACAAAATCTAACCCCATCAATTTGGCGAACTCGCTGGATTGATCAGGTTGCATTGAGTTAGCTGCAAATCGCAAACCAATGGTTTAATTTTTTTTTTTGGCGAAAATTGGTTTTGGGTGTCACGGGCTCAAAAATTAGTGCATTTTTGGACATCTACTCACAACAATTTTCTTGCCTATGCATAAATGAACTGCAGTATGTATAATTTAAAAATAGCTGGGTTTTATATAGAAAAAATCACAAGAAAATACTTTAAAAATTAAAAAATTATAAATAAAGACCAATTATAATATTAACATGAATTTTGGTAATAATTGATAAGCAAATAACAATAATTTTGTGAATGAGTTTTTATCTGTAATTTTTTCTACGGCTTTTTTTTGTTGCAATTTTTCCTTACATATATAAATTATTATTTAAAGAAATAAAAGTAAAAGGCACTCCCAAAGAAAATGGTAAAATGGTATCGGACTATCTGGGATGCTTTGTTTCTTACAACCATCAGCTTCCGATCTGCGACCAAACCCTACGGATTTAGCCACCTAACCAGTTCACACCGATCTTCCAATCCCTTTTGAACATTCATTTTCCCCCTGCGTACTTTCGATTTCGCTTGTTTCATTCTGTTGGGTAGAAAGCAAAATGTCTTACGCAGCTCGTATAATCAATCACTCCAGAAAGGTATATTGTCATCCTTCTGAATTTTTCATATCGGGCTTCCTTTGTTGTATCTTTGATTATGCATCTATCCTTACATCGTATCGCAACTCGTACAAGTAGAGCATGTGTGGAAGTTCCGTTTAGACTGTATTTCTTTGTCCTTCTTTCATCTTGAGATTTTATGGATGCTGGATATTTTAGTTCAAAGCATTGATTTTTTTTTGGGGGAAATTGAGCATTTTGATATTCCCAAATGGGTCCTTGGAGCTTGATTTCCCCTATCTCCATGGTACCCAACAACAAGTATTTTGTCATCATGGATCTTTCCGATGAGTTCTGTTAACCTTTGGACAACGTGCTAACTTCTCACCAAAGCTTGCAATCTATATGAGTGGTCTTTGCAGTTGTTATGCTCAAAAGTATCACATTACGCTTCATTTCTTATTTTCTTTGTTTAATATTCCTGGGCGCAACGCAGGGGTGATTTTTGTGCTGTGTCATTTCTGGATTATATTGGTTGCATTTATCTACATTTACTGTTGTAAGTAATGTTGTTATTCATTTTTCCTTATAGAGGACAGTAAAGTTCCCCCTCATTGCTTAATTTTCTTTATATATTTAGAAACTTCTGACCAATTTTTGTTTGAAATGCCCATTGAACTAGTTGTTAACCAGAATTATATGTATTTATGTATGGATGTATTTATATGGTTTTTCTTCATAACATTTCCTGTCTGTGCTTCTGTGGTTTTTTTGGTTGAGGAACTCTTGAAAGGGTTGTAGAAATTTGACCTCATCATGCCCATATGCTGTTTTTAAGATCTTGTCACAGACATAATGATTATGTTGAACCTATATACTATGTGTATCTGTATCTGCTTTTTTTCCTTCCAAATTTCTTTAAAAAAAAAA